CTCCGGGGATGACCATCCTCAAGCAGTGAGTTCCGGATGCCCCGTCTTCGAAAATAAACACATGGATCTCCTGTATTAACCACATCCGCACGCTATCTCTAGGATTAGGCCGCCCATGGAAAGCATCGTCCAACTTGTAGTTGGATGTTGTGCACCTCCAAGGATTTGGGGAAACCAATTCGTGGACCTAAGACACCATGGTCTAAAGCAGCCTAGACGTCAGCTCTGCAATCCTCTCTGGCAGGTGTATTAGTTTTCTAATTAGGTGTCTTAGGGCTGCCACCACCTGGTGGCTTAAAACAACAAGAATTCATGCCCTCCTCCCAGCTCTGGAGACCAGAAGTCTGAGATCCAGACGGGGCAGGGCCGCTGAGATCCAGGCGGGGCGGCGCTATGCTCCCTCCTGAGGCTCCAAGGGAGGGTCCTTCCTGCCTCTTCCAGCTTCTGGGGCTCCAGGCGTCCCTGGGCTTGTGACCCCGTCCGTGACTCTGTGTCTGTCCTCACGTGACTTCTCTTCTGTATCTATGTCTCCTCTTCTGTCTCTTACAATGACACCTGTCATTGGATTTAGGGCCACCCTAGTACAATGGACTTCATCTCAATCCTTAACTAACTGCAACTGCAAGGAGCCTACTTCTAAGTAAGGTCCCATTTGAGTTCTGAGAGGGAGGACGTGAATTCGCGGGGCGGGGGGGTACTCTACTCACCTCAGGACAGTAGAGGTTATGTGCATGTGTTTGCTCATCATTCCCGCTGCACATTTTTTTTATTCCCGGTTTGTCCATCTGATCTTTTGGGTGAGTTTTTCTCTTACCTCTTGATCAGGGAAATTTGAGCTCTGCATCTCCCCATGTTCTCTTTTCTCTTCCCACTGGACCCTCATGCCCTTGGAGATGGCAAGGGAGAAAGAAAAAGCACTCGCAGAATGAAGTACACAGAACTGGTAAGTCCATGGAGACAGCAGATTCCTGGTCACCGGACGCTGGGGGGAATGGGTCGAGGAGTGACAGCTCATGGGGATGGAGTCTCCTGTGGGGACGTGACAAGAATGTTTTGGAAGTAGACAGAGGTGCTGGTCGCGCAACTTTTTGAATGTACGAAACTCACACGGATGGCTCACTGAAAAAGGATCTGTTTTATGTTGGGTAAATTTTACCTCAATTTTTTAAAAATGGAGGGCAACAACGTGTAGGACTTCTGTCCTTGGGAAGACTCTCTTTTCTAGTATGTCATCTCATTTTTGAAGTTCCCGTAATGCTGTCAAACGGAAACCACCGCTTGCGTGCGTTCTCAAGTTACCCTGCCGCGCCCCTGATGGACGGACAGATTAAAGGGTAATCTCAATTTTCTGTGTATTGTTAAGCAACAAGCACTTCCTTATAAAATGGCTTATGTCAACACCGCCCGTATGACCGACCGCTCATTTATGTGCCCGGCAAAACCACACTGGTTCCCAAGTCCTTCCCAAGTCCACTCCTTCTGGAGGTGTGCTGGTGTGATATTTGGGGGCAAATAAGAGCCCAGGTCAGAGGGAGCGAACCCACGGCCAATTTGGAGGGGGACAACACAGGAGAAAACCCTATCACTGTGGAGGAAACCGATTACGAGTACTTGAGAGAGAACCATCTATAATTAGTCATTTGTGAAGGAAGGTGTCATGGGTCTTAAGGGAAATGCAACTTGCCCAACGCATTCTATGCAATAGTAAATAACAGGTGAGAAGCAGAAGCCACTAGTCTGTGTTGAGGGAATTAGTTGTGCCCTCGATTTGGGGGTATTGGCTGCCAAATAAAGGCACAAGATAAAACTGCACAGAACGGCAGCTATAGCCCCCCCCCACACACTCAGAGCAGAGCCTGCAAAAACCAAGGGGCACCGAACACAATCTGTGGCCTCTCAGCAGGATGGTACCGACACCGACGTCCTGGTTCTGACACTGTCACCAAGGATGTCGCCACAGAGGGAAGCTCCGTGAAGGGTGCACGGGACGCCGGGCACAGATTCTGGAATGCCCTGGGAGTCTATAATTATCTCAAAACCTATTACTTTGTTTTAGCAGCACGTTGTCCGTCATCACGGGAATAAACCAAGCATGGTCGTGTGGACGAGAAGTGCGGAGAACGGGCTTGTACACCATTTCCCGTCCGGGGAGCCGTCCGGTTGCTCTGAGCCCGTTTCTCAAGCTAGGAAATCACAGTTCAGCCCAGACACCCCCCAACGTGGCTTCCCTGCTCTGGAAGATTTTGCAGCAACGCTAAGCTGAGATTTCTTCCTAACTATCCGGATTTCTGGGCAATCGGGTTGATCTAGAATGCTCAGAGACGCCCAGTGTGCAACTTTCCTCCTCCTTCTATCTCCAGGGGCCGCCCCGGGGACGCGGCCGTCCCTTTGCAGCTAGGTCTTGAGCGGAGGGTCCCTCCCCAACAGGTGGGCTGTCTAAGAGCCACTGCGGGCATGGCTAAATCCGGCAGAAGCCCAGGCGTCTTCACCGGCTCCGTCCTACCTGCGCTGAAATACCCACATCACCACAAACCGTGTGTCTGCGATTGTGACTCAGCATGTCTGCCCCTCGGGAGCCTCCCCTCCGTGCCCAGCTCACAGGCAGAAGTGCGGAATGAAAACCACAAAAGTGCACCAGTGGGTGAGGGAAACAGCAAAACACACGGGTAGGACTGTGCGCAGCAAGGACGAAGCCCAGCGGCGTCCTTCCACCCTCACTCCTCCTGGATCGAAGGTTCCGAGGCGCAGGTGCTACTAAAGAAAAGCCAAGAGAGGTTCAGGGTGTTTGCATGTTGTGGGTTTGCTCTGCATGAGGGTTGGGTTCCCGTCAAGGAGAGCTGCATTGCTCAACTGGAAAAGCGCATACAGGAGTCCCTGGACCACGCGGGACCCATGGGTGCCTGGCCGGCACGGGGGACAGCAAGGAGGCCAGGTTCTAACTGCAGGGGCAGAGCTCAGCCTGGCCCCTCTCTGGGACCCACTGCGCCTTAGGAAGTGACCTCCAGCTGGTGGGCACTGTGGCTCCGACACAGGATTGGGACGGTTCGGGAAGGCTGGGGATTCCTTAAGGCTTAGTCTCTGTCTCTTGCATACACACCTGGGTGTGTGTGTGTGTGTGTGTCTCTCCCTCTCTCTCTCTCTCTCTCTCTCTCTCTCTCACACACACACACACACACACACACACGTCTACACCCTGCTGTTGCAACAAGGTGAACGTCCACAGTCTGGCTCTCCCGTTACAGCCCACAGGAAGTTATCCTTGGAGAACAAACATCCTCTTCATCAAGCGGCAAAGACCAGTGGAAGAAGTCGCCCTCCCCTGCACGCCCCTCTCAGTCCCCAGAGGCGGTGGCATTCTATTTTTAAGGACAAGATGAGTGGCTGGCCACCCCGTGCCCACTTGGCAGCGCCCACAGGGCCCCACGTGACTGCAGGCACCGGATCGGGTCACGGCGACGGCCCACCAGCCTGCCCACACCCTGCTGACCCCCCTGGCCTCCAGCCCTGGCACCTTTGACAATAGACCCATGTGTGTGCCCAAAAGAAATACAACTGGAGGTTCTGTGTGCCAAGGCATGGCGGGTCTTCTACCAACTTTCCAATGTTCACTCGCGTCTCCATCTACTCCCAGTGTCGCCGCACGGGCTGGGTTTGTCCCACCTTGCAGCCCCGCAAAACACTGCCTGCTTTTCCATCAGCCCCAGCTTCCCAGGGGGAGGGAAGGAGAGAGGGACACAAAGACAAACAGAAGGGAAAGGAGGTGGCTGACAGGGAGAGAGAGAGAAGCACAGAGGTAGAGAAGGCGCCCTGCTATGCATGCCTTCCTTCCCGCATCAGGTTTCCTGAAGACCCCTCCCTCCCAAGCACAGGGAGACCAGGAACCGAAAAGAGAAGTGTCCCTCTCTGCTGACGGTTGGTTACAATGCCAATCTGGCCGTGCCTCTCGCTCTGATTCAACCCTAGGCCGTGACCCTGAGCCCCGGCTTCCTGATTCCCTGCGCAGCTTCCTCCTTTCCAGAAGAGGGGCAGGGGACCCGGGAAAAGTCCGTCAACACCACCACCCCTCGATGACATGTGGCTTGTCCCCGGCCCCATTTATCTCGCCGAAAAGCAACCCGCGTCCGAAACGCCCCGGGAGCAACAAAGACTTGCTAAGAAGCTAGAGCGGGTTTCGCCCAGCACTCGAACCCAGCTCCGACCTGGGGTGGGGATTCTCTAGCCCCGTCGGGGCGGCCCCCTGATATCCCAGCGCCTTTCGGAATTCAGGCGCGATGGGGTTGGGGGGGAGACTGGAAACTATTTCTAGACGCCCAACTGCGACCACACTCAAAGGGGAGAAGACAAAAGCAAATCCGTGCCTGATCAACACTGCCAACTTAGATGCACGAGATGAAAAGCTCGCGCCGTGTCGGGGAAGGGTAATTCATCTGCAGCGCCGGCTGTTCCCCCCCCCCGCCCACTCCCGCCCCCGTTGCGCCCCAAGACACCTGTCCCCGCCAAGACCCTGGCGAGGTCTAAAGTCTACGCGGGAGCATCGTGCCTCTGGGCAGAGGGAGGCTGGCCAAGCAGAGTTCCGCAGGTGCCTCTGGGCCGCCGCTTCTCTCCCTAGGGGCCCCTGGCTGGGAGGGCGGGCCAGGTGCCCCGTATGAGGTGACCCCCAGGAAGTTTTGTGACGTCCGGTGGCACAGACACCAGGGGGATCGAGGGAGGAGGGGGGCTGAGTTCTGAATAAGGAGCCTCCTGGGGCGCGGGGCAGAGCGCGGGCACTTGGGGAGGCTCTCGGGAGCTGGGGTGGGGGGAACACCCTTCCAACTCTGGGAGCGCCCGAGCGTCCAGGGGCGCACGGCCGGCCCGCGCGGACGCCCTGAGCCGACGGGACCGGGCAGGGCCGCGGCTCAGGGAGGCGGCCGGGCGACCGCACACCGGCCCTTTGTCTGACGCCAGCGTCCCGGGCGGCGCCGGGGAACCCTGCGGGCCGGCTCCCCGCGCTCCCTACTCACCCACGGTGGCCAGCGTGTCGAAGTCCTGCAGGCGGTAGGCTGGCGGCTCGGGCGAGGGCGCCTCGGGGCTGGGGCAGAGCGCGGGCGCCCCGTCGGGGGTCTCCCCACGGCCCCCCTGAGGCTCGGGGTCCGTCGCGGCCGCCTTGGCCGCCTTGGCCAGCCCGGGCGCCTCCATGGGCGCGCGCTCCAGTCCGGGGCGCCGGGCCGGGCCGGGGAGCGCGGAGGTCCGGGCTTCCCGGGACGCAGCCTCGGAGGGCGGCGCGGCGGCGGCGGCGGCATCAGCGACGCCCAGCCATGCGCGTTCCCCGCCTCCCGGTCCGCGGCCCGGCGCGACTGGCGGAGCGGCGGGGACAATGGCGGGGCGCGGGGCGGCGCTCACTGCAGCAGTAGCAGTAACAGCCGGTGGGAGTAGCCGGCGGCCTCG